GAAAATTTGTTGCTATAGCAACCGTTGTCATGGTTACAGGTAAACAGAAAACAAAATCCCGTGGTGAGGAAATGCATGGTTGCCAAGTTGTATCGGGTTTAGTATAGCTGAATTCAGTTATGGAAAAACTGTTGCTATGGCAACGATCGTCATGGTAACGAGTAAACAAAAATCCGATTCCAGTGGTGAGTAAATGCGTGGTTGCCAAGTTGTATCGGGTTTAATATAGGTAGCTGAAATCAGCCTCAAATTTTGTTCGACAATAGTTCTTGCTAGTTTTCAAACAATAACTTGATTCGAATGAATACCCTTCTTATCAATTTCTTGAAGACTGTTCGTCGTTGATAAATTCCCAAAATCACTACTTCTCTGACGATCATAAATGGAAATAACGTCAGGAAAAAATAGGCTTTGTTATTGAACAGACCTAGACAAAATAGCGAGCGACAAAATAGTGCGGAACAATAAATAGCGCATAAGGATACTACTTTTTCTGAACAATCTAACCTAACTCGGCTTAAATGAACCTTCTTAGAAAAAATATATTTTTCATCATCGATCAGATTTGGGAGCAAGGCATCGTTCGTGTGTGTTTGAAGACTGCATAGAAAAGGACACTACTTTTTCCAAACAATCTAACCTAACTCGACTTGAAACAACCTTCTTCTTGAAAAACATATATTTTCCAACATCGTTCAGATTTGGTAGCAAGGCATCGTTCGTGTATGTTCGAAGACTGTTGCTGAATCAAAATGTGCGCGTGAAGAAAGGTATGGGTGAATCGAAATGAAGGCAAATGGAAATGTGGGTGGGTCTAACGAGATGTTTCCATCTGTATTAGACAATTAGTACCTGTAGTCTCTCTTCCTATATCCTGCGCGATACCTCGTAATGAATATTCCAAAATGGCTTTGTTTCTTTTTGATTTTGTCGAATAGCTCGGCACGCGAAGGATGGTTACATTGAAGAGTGTTTTTGAAATTTATGAATGAAGCAATAATTCTCCGATACAACTTTGCAACCACGCATTTCCTCACCACGGAAATCGGATTTTTGTTCACTCGTTACCATGACTATCGATGCCATCATGGCAATAGTTTTTCCAAAACTGATTTCAGCCAAACTAAACCCTATACAACTTGGCAACCACGCATTTGACGATCGTTGCCATGGCAACAGTTTTTCCATAACCGATTTCAGCTATACTAAACCCTATACAATTTGGTAACCACGCATTTCCTCACCATGGGCATCGGGTTTTTGTTTACTCATTATCATGACGATCGTTTCCATGGCAACAGTTTTTCCACAACTGATTTCAGCTATACTAAACCCGATATACAACTTGGCAACCACGCATGTCCTCACCACGGGAATCGGGATTTTGTTTACTCGTTACTATGACGATCGTTGCCATAGCAACAGTTTTTTCATAACTGATTTCAGCTAAACGAAACTTGAGCCCATTTGCCTAGTATCATAATGGAATAATATTCTTTCATCAGACAAAACTTTGGTAATAATGAGAATAGGTATACTCCCATGATTGAGAAAGTAGGTAGTGACAAATGAAATAATGAATGTTAGAGATACAGCAGGTACAGTAAGTTATTCCAACAAGTTCGAAAAATGAATCATCATATTCGGGTGTAAATGGATCGAAAACCATTGGGCTTTGATTAATTGACATAGGGTAACCATTGGAGTGATGTGAAATCTTACTCAGATGCTAATACCAATCGGAGTAAGAGAAATGATAGACCGATGGCGATGAACTGTTGAATTGATATCTTTCATTTATATTCTGAACACTATTGAACTAGGATGTGAATTTGTCACTTCATTGGGTCTCATTTCATTTCCTGTTTCAGTGTCCTACAGAAATGATATGATTAATGATGGATGATAACAGACGATCATAGCGATGGAAACGGGCAACATGTATTATTGGGAAAAATATTCCACAGCTCAAGATCAGATCATTTCTATAAAAACGGACAATATAATTTTTTTTCCTCACGAATATTTCTCCCAAACTTCTGTCTCACTGGACTAAATAACAATTTTGGAGGTGCTAGCCTTTGCAGCGTCTTCTTCAATGGTGCTTGAGCCACCAAATAGCTCGAAACGAGTAGCGCGGGACAAAAAAGCGCCGAAATATAACAGTTTGTTCCCGAATGCCGCTGTATAGACCTCAACTTCACCTCCTTGATACTGAAAGTGTTGCCTACCAACATACATACTAATCATTCCATTGTGTCAGTAAGTGGAACGTCAACTTCAAGAGCTTGCTTTGAAACAAAATTGGACGACTTTTGAGCCGATTGAGGAAAACATATTCTTCTCCATTTTATTTCTGCAATAATTGAATTCTGCACAAACGAAAACAAATTATTTACATAATGAAATGTTCTTTGAAAACAATATATAACACTTAATACTGTATGAAGGTCAATGGACGATGTTTATTCTTTACTTCTCTAGTTTTTTGAAATATTCTCTCCCCGTCTTCATAAAAATAGATATTTGTATTATGCAAATTTTATCATAAGAAACTCAAGAGTAGAATTTGATCGGGAGTCAGTGACCCCTTCCATAAAAAATATTCGAGGAATACTATAGGCAAACTGGAAAATGTAGAAGTCTATTCATCGTTGGAAATCAGTGGTATTCCAATGAGCACAGTGATGTTGAAAAAACGTTGCTGGATGGTTTGAAATCGAATGTTTATGAGGAGTATTTCCCAAACGTTGATTCAACGAAAAAATGTCGTATGATAAAACGTTTGTTTCAATCAAATCACCTACTTGAAATAAACGTATTTTGAGAAGCTCTTTTCAAGTCGACTATCAACGTGGAATAAACATAATGTTTCGACGTTTCATAACTTTTGTCGATAATGAAGGTTTATTCAACGTTTAATTGACGTTTAAAAATGACGATTTGAACAAGTTGATGAAATAAGATTTGTCAACGTTTACTCACGTTACTCAAACGTTTTAGCTAGATTACTTTCCGTTATTTTTGTGTCCACAAATATGTATGAACGTTAGTTCACCGTGTGGACTTTGCCGGATCGATGAAAAGTAGTTTTGTATACAGGAAAAACACACGTTTTCAGATGACGGAAAATATAAAATATAATTCAATGACAACTTATATTACACGTTGACGAATAACAGTTGACAAACGTTGTTAAAAAACGTTTCATTCACGTTCTTCTCCCACTCTCGGTCAGAAAATATTGACAGATTCGCGTTACAGAAATGTTTATTTCGAACGTCTAACTAACATTTCGGAAAAACGTTTTATAAATGTAGAATTTCAACAGATCGTCAGGACATATTGTTTTCAAATATGTTTATGAAACGTTCAAATTCGACTTCATTTCAAGAATTCAACAAACGTTTGAGACGGAGAAACGTTTTATTAATGCATAATTTGAACTGATCGTCAGGACATATAGTTTTCAATACGTTTATAAAACGTTTAGATTAAACTTTACATACTTCAACCATATTTCAACGTTGAATGTCTCAACCATAAACGTCTATCCAACTTGTTTTACGTTGATAATACGTCGAAAAAACGCACGTGTCCCATTGGGAATCTTCTCATCCGAACTTTTCTCAAGAAAAAAAAACACTAACTTTATCGATTGAATTTTTCTTACTGTTTTCCAATATTGCAATTTTCAGCGCAGTGACATTTTGAAGCAAATCATCTCTTTCGTCCTTGTTTAAATTATATTGGGGTAATACTCATGATAACTAGACTCATAGGGACGATGAGAGAGAATGTCAAAAACCAAGAGATGTGGTTATATTACTTTGTTTGAAACTGGCTGTGCTGAAACTCCCCATGTACCGTTTTATTAAAAGGTTTACACGAGGCGCACCATCGTATAGGCGCAGTTACAATTTATCGGTGCGTAATGCGTGATGATTGTGATGAAATGGAAACTCAAAACATGGGCATTATCGAATGAAATGAGACACCTGAAAGGAATACTCATTGATGTAATAAAAGGAAGGTAGATATATCTCTTCTGCATAAGAAAGGCGAGATTTTTATCAACAATCTAACCTCACTCGGCGCTAATATACCTTCTACCTAGAAAATATATTTTTCGGAAAGAATAACACCCTATGATGGTGTTTAAAATACAAGTGAAGATTCTCACTTGAATAATCAGGACCTCAGGGAACACCCAAGGGTGTTATCTGGTGTGAACTGGTGTTTTTTTTTTTCACTGTCTATGTTGGTGCGCCCCGACTAACCCGAACAGTATTTTGGAATTATTGATTCGATATGTCTGAGAATTATGAAATATATTTGGTACATGATTTCGAAGGAGAGATTCGAATACTCAATCTGTTCTTGTAATAGTAAAAGTTAAAGTAATAATAGACGAAGAATGAAGACGAAGACAAAGCTGCGCCCTATGTCTTCAACAGCAAATCGTCCATACCATTCTGATACTCAAGTAATTACTCTTATGATCAACTAGTGTATATGGTGGTATCCGAATTTTAATAATTATATATGTACCAGAACATAGTTATTCATTCGAAGGTTTCACATTGGATATCAGAGTTGAACGAATTTGTTGGAGAAAAAAATAATTTTTTTCTTATCTGATCCTGATAATTCTCATTCATCCTCGTGTGGAATTTGTTTCAGCTGGATTGATGGAATTATATGGAGATGTGAGTATATACAAAGGTTTATAGTGGAGTTGATGCTACCTATTCTATCAAGAATAATTGTTGGTGCATTTTCAGATGATTTGGATAGAAATTCTAATACCAATATGGTAATGGTATTTCAAAAACGTGATCTCCATGTTCTTTATTGATTCTACAAATAACTATCGCTGAATTCCATATCTGACTGACTGCACCTTGAAGATCTAGTATAAATTGAAATTCCCCCACCCAATGCAGAATCCGATGTACCGGCATCAGTGATGAAATCTGCAACTATCAGGGTATCCTTACCTTGTGTAATGCTAGATGGTGCTAACGTATTGCATTTGCCAGCTTCTTTTTCAGCAAGTCGATCTTTGAGCAGCTTTATTTTGTCTTCTTTCTGCAAAATATAGGATTCATTATAATCAGCACAGATATGTACGGAAAGACACGTTATTAAGTGGTACGAAAACAAATAGTTCTTCCAGTTTCTGACAGTTTCTGGCAGAGATATAGAAAACCGGCTCGAAGGAGATTGTCTTTCCTTTCCGAATCAACAGAAACGCTTTGACTTTGGCTTGTTCGTAGTTGCAATAACGCCAGTCGAGCAACAAGCCATCTCCACATCTTTATAATATGGAATTCACAGTTTTGAACTGTTTCTTCCTTTTATTTTCACTCAGATGGCGTTACACTGATATTGTCTATGAAAGAGGCCTCTGAGTGAATAACGTGTCGACCTGATTTTTGTTTGGCCAGATTACGCTAAGCTGGCAAACTTTGGACTGCTAGCTTGAAGACAACCCTACACTGATGAGATCCAAACGTTAACCTGGCTGAATCGAAGGCATTTAGGAAAGAAACACTTGGATCAGTATTCGTTAATACGAATCGAGGCATAGATTTCTAGACGATGCAATTCAATATTCTGCGTGGCATCAGCCAGGAAAGTAGTTGATTTCCTCTTGTCTTGTAACACTGTTGTATATCTTACTCTGAGCTCTACTTATTCAGTAGCTCATCCCAGTGTGGGCATTTTGGCATTTTCGCAGTTGAATTTCCACCAACCTAACTGAAAAACTCAAGCAGGTGAAAGTGTATGGAATGTAAAAGATTAATGGTTACTATCTATTTGATTGATGGTTAACATCTATTTGAGTTGCTCAAAGACGAGGCGAATTTTCAATTCGTTAAAGCTTCAAATTCCAATATTCATTTCATGAAAAAAAAAAAAAAAAACTCATTGACAAAATATTGATACACAAACAGCATTATATGCCTCTCATGTTCCGCGAATGTTGATATTTCGAATAGAAATATCTCTGCACTCATGATAGTTTCTATGTACCAAGGACGAAAAACTGTAAATCATAGTTGCCTCTTCAAATTGATAGCCAAGGCCTAAGCCGAGGATAGTAACCAGGCCAGAAAATAGACAGTTTTTTGCCGAGGAGCATATATTAAATTTTTTCGTCAACCCCGAATACTTATATCGACTTCAGGGTCCTATTTACACGTGAAATCTATCGGATTTCATGAATAATCAATTTGTCGAAAGCAAATGACCAGTTGTTGTCAACTCATTCTCCTCGTGGACCAGTGTTGCCAGTTCGATTTTGATTTCATCAGTGAATAACTCGTCATGAATCCACACCAATTTAATGCTATTCGTATAGCAAGAAGGAGAAATGATAATTTAATGAACCTATGACGTCAAAACATTATGTACTTTCGGTAAACAGAAAGTGAGCTATTTTCAACAAAATAGAAACAAACAAAACAAACATTCTCATTGAAAAATATTCCTATTTCTGATTTCCAATTTGAAAATACCCAGATATTCACATATAAGATCTGAATATACAGTGTGTACATAAAGTAAGGAATAAATTCATTATCTCGAAAAGGAAAAGCTTTTCGGAAAAATCCTTGGACACGTCAACTTTTGTTTCAAGATGCGCATCTTTTGGAGTCCTAGTCGGAATGGTGACGTCATTACTCTTCCGGAAATGTCATCATCGATTTTTTTTTCAAATGGCAACCTATAGTTTTGACAGTGCCATTTGAAAGAGCATATTTTTCTCCACACAGCACATCAAAAGTTTCGTCATGTTACATAAGGAAATTTTCGAGAAAATGAATGTTATCATGATTTTATAGTAATTTATTTTACACAGTTGATTGCACAAACTAATTGATCAAATGTTCAAACTGAAGTCCTTCCTGAGCCTGGCAGTATCCAAGACGGTCAATAAATTCTCGTTGGACTTTCGTGATAGTTCGTGGAGTAATATTGTTACATTCATTTGTAATCCTAGTTTTCAATTCCTCGATATTATCTGGTCTAGTTTTGTACACGACATTCTTTAGATGGCCCCAAAGAAAAAAATCTAATGGAGTAAGGTCCGGAGATCCTGAGGGCCATTCAATAGCACCACGCCTACCTATCCATCTATTGGCAAAGACTTGGTCAAGATACCTTCTAACATCAGCTGCGTAATGCGGCGGTGCACCATCTTGCTGGTACCATAAGTTTTCATTTGGTATAGCAGGGTTATTTGCGTTAGGAAATAAGATCACCAGACTGGGTATAACATGATCCTGTAGGAATTGAAGGTATCTTGCACCATTTGAGGTTTCTTCGAAATAGTGGGGTCCAATAATTCTGTTTTCTACAATCGCCGCCCAAACATTTATTTTCTGAGAATACTGTGTGTGATGTTCTCTCATCCATTTTGGATTCTCCTTAGCCCAGTACCTGCAATTCTGCCGATTCACTGTTCCTGTTAGTGTAAAGGTAGCTTCATCAGAGAAAGCAATATTTTTTACTAGCAAAGGGTTGGCATTGCACAAATCCATTAACGTTTGGCAGAACTGCATCCGTCGGTCTGGATCGTCCTCGGAAAGTTCTTGGGTCAGAGTCATCTTATAAGGATGCCACTTTTCCAATTTCATAATTTTATGTGTAGTTGTAACTGGGATATCTAGATTTTGGCTCAGGCTTCTTAGGCTGTTGTGTGAATTTTCCTCCATTGCTAATAAAACATTCAATTTGACCTCCTCATTCATTTTAGGACGCCCAGCTTTAGGGAGATCATCAACACTACCAGTGTCTCGAAACTTTTTCTCAACTTTGCTTACTGCCGATTGAGTTATGGGCCTATCCGGGTATTTAGTATTAAACAGTCCAACTACTTCTTGTTGCGTTCGTACTCTATCACCGTAGCCAATCATCATCATAATTTCGATTCTCTGAGTAACAGAAAGGCGCATTTTATTCTTAATTGTTTCGAAAAGAAGAGAATCAATGAAATATGAACTTTCAAACTGTGGCATACATCAACCAAACGTCAGGTATCACAAACAGTAACATGTCTTTTTACGATAATAAAAAGGGTGATTTTTTTAGGGCTTAGCAAAAACGAACTCACCAGTGGCGTGCTGACAGAGAACTTTACAATGCTAGGAAGGACTTTTTGAACCCTTCATTAATTAGTTTGTTCAACTAACCGAATAAAGTAAGTTAACTTAAAATCAATAAATCATTAATTTTCTCGAAAATTTCCTTATGTAACATGACAAAACTTTTGATGTGCTGTGTGGAGAAAAATATGCTCTTTCAAATGGCACTGTCAAAACTATAGGTTGCCATTTGGAAAAAAAATCGATGATGACATTTCCGGAAGAGTAATGACGTCACCATTCCGACTAGGACTCCAAAAGATGCGCATCTTGAAACAAAAGTTGACGTGTCCAAGGATTTTTCCGAAAAGCTTTTCCTTTTCGAGATAATGAATTTATTCCTTACTTTATGTACACACTGTATAAAAAATAGGATGAAATAGTAGAAATGAACAACAAAAATACACAAGAAGAAAATAATAAACGCGAGGAAGAAACTTATAGGAGGGGTATATGAAGAATTGAATTTGATCTGAATCAGAAATTATTAGTGTATGTGATCAACTACACTGAGAAAAACTGGTTAATTGAAACGTCTTGTTGGTATTTTTTTAGTAGCGATAATTAAAAATATTTGGAATTTTATTAACAATGACAACGTATCCTTATTTCCTACAAATGACTTTCCTATTTTTCGTCAATTAAATACTATTATTATTTATAAAAATACTATTTGTGACAGAATTATCACAGTTTTGTCTATTCAGTGAATTAAAATTTCATATTGGGGTTAAAAAACCTCATTCTGGGGTTACTAACAACAGCTAACTATTTGCCACAACTGATGACACATTTATCGTAAAAGGTTTATCATTATTCATAGCAGAAATTGTTTAGCCATAACTAATAATTTCAGTTGTACTGCGTCGTTCGGGACCGGCTCGCGTCTCTTCGGGACCCACCGGCAAAAATTGCATCTTGCATCTGTTTGTCTTTCTGTTTCATCACTTGAGCTTGTATCTTAATAGTGGGTAGATCGCACGGTCGTCGAGCTTAGACAAGATAAATGAAATAATTGTCTAGTGTAGCCGGGAGCGTCGTGTTCTTGCTGGTTCACTGCTCTGTGTGTTTTCAAATCACTGTTTTGTGTTTTTTTGCACTTCGCGCTGAGCCATTTGGCATTTGGTTGGCAAAATAATAATTCGCAGTTTACCATCGTTATCTGTGCGTCACTAGTTATCAGGTTTAGATACCTATTCACAATTCAGTTCAGTTTACGACGGGCGACGGTGAGAAACGTCCAACCAACGTCACGTGTACACGGTGTATATTTATAATTCCCTCTCTTTTTGCTGAGCTCACTGAGCTGTGGCCTGTGGCACTTACGGTGTGTGGTGTATTCCTGTTCACGATTCCATTGAAAATTGGGAGAAAAATGGCATACAAACTGTTATTATTAGAATGGGGCCTTGATTTTAATTGATATAAAACTATTAAGTTGCCAGAATAACTAAATTATATTTCAAACGTTACTAAATCACTTTTGATAGTAACTAGATTCCATCTCAGTCACAATTGAATATTTAATTTGCAACAACACACTCACTATTAACGTCAGAAGAAATGAGTAATTGCCCCAACTGGGATAATTTGTTGTGGTAACAAACATATATTGAAACAGTACTAACATTCTAATTGTCATAACTATGTATCTTGATTGTGGCAAATAAAACTTGGTATTATTTCTTAAAAAGGCTTATTAGTTACCACAACAACGTCGTAGATGACTCAACTAAACTTTTCATTTGAGGCACATAGGCGTTTCCAGAAAAACAGAATTAGTTATGGCAACAACTAATGCTTGCTGTCCCCTATCGTACTAAAAAATGTTTCTGTAGTTACTAATTCTTTAGTAACGACTACAAATTTTTTCCCTCAGTGTAGAGATGTGGATGATGTATGTTCTTCGAACATTATGGGGATTTTCATTCGTGAGCATCAAGCAATAAAAACAATCTGATTACATCTCTCGGTCTGAAATTTTCAATAATCATTTCGACTTCTAGTGATTAATTTTGCACTGAAAGAGTCTCACAGCTCCAGTATTCAGCAATTCATCTTATTCTCCTCATGGAAGATGATTCTTCGAACCAATTAGAAATTTTGTGAAATCATTGTAAACTTACCCAAGAAACCTTCATTTTATACTGTTACATTCAAAATGTTGATTGAATGAGGACCAACATTTTGATTTGATAGTGGATTACATGATAAGTCTTGGGTGGGCTGGATATGTCACCTTTAATGTAGAACTTCACGTGCACATTTCACAAATAGAGGAGAAGATAAGGGTAAGAGGATGAAATATGTTATTTGATCAGAAGAAATAGTGATGAAAAGCCTCAATTATCTTTATCTTTATCTTACATCCAGAAATGAATGATTCCTTGGATTCTTGCACGATTGAGGACCGTGAAGGTAATAATACGAAATTCTCATTTTGTTCACATGCAGTGCGCGGAATATGTTCTTTGTGCACTATTTTATCCTGCGCATACCTTCGCGGACGGTGTCGTGATAACGTATGAAACTGAGAAGTGTCACTTTGCATATTGTTTTCAATGCGTCAACAACAAATATGTTACCCCTCACTGCCATTTCTTTGTGATTATTTGTTCTGATGGTTATTCTTCTCTCCACTGATCATTCATATTTATATATTATTTTTCAAACTCATTATATTTCTTAAATTACTGTAATCTTTCGCATGGCATGTCGGGACATATTCTACAATATCCGTATATTCGATATTAACCCCACAGGACTCGAGTTCGCAATCGAAGTGAGTAATTGATCTGCAGAAAATTTGATATAAAATAATCACCGAATTTTCAGGGAGTCAGTCACTGAAGCCCGTTGCAAATATTTGTTATTAGGCTCTTTTTGACTGACAAGAGATCGTTCAGACGGTACCGATTCGGACATTTTTACAAATCTGTAATTAACGGGGTTGATGTTCACACGGGTGAATAGTTTACTGTTCATTAACGTGTGTCAATCAGTTGTCGGCTATCACAGTGCCGTACAGCAGGCTGATGATGGAGGTTACGTGACGTATCTTCTTGTGTTGGTGTACCTCCTGCAACCTGCCGGCTCTGATACCTCGTATATTATTTGCAGAGAATCGTCTGAACGCATCCATTGAAATGTAAATGAATTGTGTTATCAGTGACCAATTTATAATTCGCCCTGTTAACTCTACTCGGAATACTAAAACAAAACCTAATGACACCTTAATCCAGATCGAAGTTTCACCGCCCTCGAGATGTTATCGAATCGTCTCAACATAAATACGCATTTGGATGTATTTGCATCAGATGAAATTTAATCCGACAATAATAGGGATCTGGTGCCGCCTGAACGAGCTCTGATGATACCAATAATTTAGAATGGTCGTGATATACAGTCCTCAAGTGTCAAATATCAAACCATGCTATTCGATTCATAGTCACCCTGTTCACCCCAAGTATTCAGATCATGATCAAAGACAAGAATTATTTGCATATAATTCCGTATGCTTACCTGTGCTATAAGAAGTATCAAATCTTCGTTTTCTCGAATCAACTTTTGATACTTTTCTTCGTCTTCCTTAGATATACCAACATCAGGATTGTATTTACTTTCAGCCTTATCTTTCGGGTGCCTTATCACTTCAATTACCTATAAAAATCGTTAACTCACTAAATTTACCAGAATACGATATCGTCAAGGTTACTTTGCACAAGATTATGAGATTTCTATGTACCAAGTCAGATTCGGAGACAGAGGTTGAAGACCTGAACAATAGTTCTCATAAGTAGAGTGAGATTGACAACTAAACAAGGTGGAAAAAGAATTCAAATATAAAAGTTTAAGGGTTCCATCTTTGGCACTCCTGGAACGAACAGATGCGAATAGAAAAATAAGTAGTGACTCAGAGTCAGGGGCGATATTTCAGTGTATACTACGGGGAGGGAGAGGAACTAAGAGAAATTTGTTTGTGAGTTAGAAAATGCGTCGCAGGTGAATTTTTTCAGTTCAAAACCGAATGCCTCCGAACTCTTAGAATTTTCCCAGAGTGACACCATTCTCATATCACAAAATGAATATATCACATTCAATTCGAATTCATTCTCTCATTTCGTTGTTAGTTATGGCTATAAAATTATGAAAAAAAAATATATATAACAATTGAAGGATCGGGTGAAAAGTATTTGAATACTCTATGAAGTTTAACTGAGCAGGTAAATGCGCATTATTTCAGATTTCTCAATATTTTTTACCTCGTTTATTTGAATGAAAATCTGAATAAAATAATCTCACTACCCATATGTGTGTAATAAAGATTGAGTGTCACTAATTATTAGTAACAGATTCCTCTCCCGACTTCAAGAAAGTAACATCTTTTGAACGCAGGGATATTTTTGTTTTCTTATATTTTTTCATTTACAGAAATTATATGAAAATGATAGGACTTTCAAAAGATATGAATAAATCAAGAAATATCTAAATGAGGTTGAAGTGATGTTGACTATTGGTTGAGAAGTGTTGAATGATTTTCATCAATGCTTATTTCTCAAATTTGCGAAATAAATGATATTCTCCAAATCATTCCAATATTCCAATATCATTCATTCCATGTGAAAACTATCAGTCTCTTGTCTGTAGAAGTACCCATTCTGAATTTAAAAACAAATTGTTGATAGCGTTCTTTCATATTTTCCAATGGCCGCAGGCGCCAGTTTCCACATTAATTGGGGGAATTCTGATATTTACTTAACTATTTAGGTTAATTTTGCTGATTCGTGTTTGAAACTTTATATTATACTACCTGACATATTGATCATTTTGGAATTATATATTTCTATATTTTCCTTTCAGATTTCTGATCTGTTCAGTTGCGTGTCATTGATAAAGGAAGATTTATTGTAAAGTATTTTCCTGAAGGTTGGCAGTGTCCTTCCCCCCTGCCACCCCTCAATGACGCCCGAAGTAACTTTTTATAATTGAAACACACTTTATCCTCCCTCTATATCTCAGATATAATTCCTGCGATTCTAACCAAATTCAAACCAGAATGAACAACTATCAATATGATCAGTTTTCCAGAAAGAAAGATCAATTTGGACTGTGCCGTGCTCTCTATTGGAATGGAAAGGGGTAGATTTCTGTTCAATCGAATTGAGAGGAATCTTCCCATTGTTGTTTCTAATTCTTTCAAACCTTCAATGCTCAAAATCAAAAATGTCTAAATCTACAGGATTGACTAATTCCTTTTTTATCTTCATCCTCGAAAAGATAGCGAATTCAAATTAACTGCAAAGGACCCCGCACATTTAGTACGGAAAATGACTTTCGAGTAATTTTTCTGCAAATCTGATATGTTTCAGATATTAGCGACCTGATTACACAGTCCAATTTACAGATCGACCCTATGACCAGTTTTTGAGCTACAGGGTGTCAATCATTTGATTTTGGCTGTAGTGTAGAATTCACCGGTATCACTTATTGTAAGCAATAATGAATCGAGATGCTTAGAGTATAAAGAACAAAAGCGAAGCAAACACTGAAAACAATTGGAAGAAAATTGAGAAACCCTGAGGAAGTGTTGGCTGATTCACCAAGGAAGTGATTTTAGGCACCCACTGGAATCCAACTACAGGATGAAGTTCAACGCTTGGGCTCATACCCATGTTGTGAGTGAAATGGAACAATTTGCTGTTCAACGACCAGCAAGGGCTGTGATATTGGATAATAATATTATTTCCGAACGATGATGATTTTGCATGCTCACTGAGTGTTATACCTTGGTGCAGAATGGATACACGAATGAACTTTCCATAGCATCGATAGCATATGATATTGATGATAAGTGATTAGGTAAGTATCTACTGAAATGCAACTGCAAGATATAGTTTCGTGCTGGAGCTGATACCCATGTTGAGAGTAAAAGGAATCAATTTGCAGTTCAACGACTAGCATGAGTTGTTATATCCAATAATCATGAGTAATACTATTGTTCCCGAACGATGTTACTTTTTTATCCATACTCAAGGTGATACCTTGGTTGAGAATGGATACACAACCAAATTCTCCATAGCCCTATTAGAATAAGAATGTTCAGATAACTCTTATGTCAACAGGTAGTAGAGACACGGCAACAGAATCCACAAACATACTAATCCAACATCATTTCTGTCATTCTATCCTATTAGGGAAGACTCCATCGTCCGAAAAATCACCAGGGTCTGATATTGCGGAGGATTTTTCATCTTTATGGCAAAAATATCTTATTTTGGGTTCGGATAAGGATACAGGAAAAAATATGACTGATATGCATCATACTATTCAAATGCATAGGAAAGTCATTTTTCAGAGGCATTCCAACCCGGCAGTACAAAAAAATGCATCACAACAGGTGTTGGACGATTTTTTGTTCGAAATAGATTTTTCAGGAAAATTCAAATCGGCGAAACTAATATCCACATCAGCAGAAAGAATCGTCAAAATATCAGCATGCCCCGCCCAAGACACGCATGAAGCCAGAAAAATGGAGGGGGAACGAATGCCGTCGGGAGAGGCATCACTCAGGGACAATTGGAGTTGGATGAGACAACAAGAGTAGAGGTAGGCTATATGCTGGCAGGATAAGGTATAAGAAAACTGGAAGGTGAATACACAGGATGAACAGATTCTCAGCTGGTTGAGAGCATATGAAATTTCTTTCATTGAACGACCTGAACGAATTAAACTGAGACAACGAGAATATTCTACTGAATTATCTACTTGCATTGAATAATTGTTAGACATTGAGACTATCAACAAAAGAATCCATTGTAGAGAAGGGGTTTCATCATCAATCAAAGGGTTCGAACTTGAACGAAGGAAACTTTTTATTTTCGTAGACCTCAATACCAGATTGGTGATTAGGTTTTTCTTGATTCAGAATTTCTTTCCACGTCCTGTATGATGAATGTCAATTTATCATTCATCAAAAAAGAAAAGGAGAAAAACATATGCCCACATTGCTTACATTTCGAGCTCAAGAGGACTATACAACCGCTTCTGTATTCGACATTGTTCGATGAAAGAAATTGATTCGAAAAATGCATTCTTCCTAGTCCTGCTTCATACCAGTTGTTGAGCATATTTGAAATTCGAATAAAACATCGACTCTTTGGGATTCGCAGTGTAACCAATGGACCTCTCCATCTTGCCCCATATGATTTCACAAAGTTTCTCAAGCCAATTATCAACCATTTGGGGTATCAAGAACACCAGTCAGTTTCATATTATGTTGATCTGGGTATAATTATGGAAAACAGAAGGAAAATCTCACTGAATTTCAAAGATGTTATACAACTTTCTGATTCTTTGGGTTTCCTAATGAACAAAGATGAACATTTTTTGAAACCATCACGAAATATTGAATGTTCAGTGTTTATCACCCTTTGCAAAAATATGTCCATGTGCAATGTCCATACCTCAATGTGAGAATTCAAAGCATCAATCAAATTCTTTCAAGAGTCACGAACTATTTTCACCGACGCATTGACCTCTGGATGCAAACTTGCTGCGGCAGCAAAACGACTCGTAGTTATTGAAATCCACACTGAGAGAACAGTTTATTAACAATAAAGAAATTTTATTTATTGTTAACGAATGACGTTGTTGAATATGGACTAACTAACATGATTTCATCACAAACTAATGGTATTTTGAAAAATTACAAACGAATATACTGGTTAATATTAAGTTATAATAATCTTGATTTCATGAAACGTATATTAATTAAATATTAACAAATATCACTTTGTGGACACAATACCCCATTTTGCATTAAAAGAGATTTGTTTATAATAATGTAACGTTACTTCAAATCCAATTAACGTTTTCTCAATGCAATCGACTGTCACTTATATGTTAGGATATCTATATTAAAACTTAATACACTGCGTTTTAATTTTAGCTTTTCCAGTGTTGTACAGAAAGGAGGCATTGTTTCAATAACGAAGCATTACTTATAGCATAAGGAATCATTTTGTTATTGATAAGTTATGCTTCGTCAATATATAATATATTGTTTGGTTATTGATAGTTAATATTTTGAGTCGATGATCGATGGTTCCAATTGTTTTTTCCTAACAGAAAGAATAAAGAGTCTCTGAGAACAAATATATTTGAGCAAAAGTTTACAGTATAGTTACATCACATATATTTTGATATCAAAACATCTGAATAAGAAGAGCTAAAATCAGACCAGAGATCCAGGTGTATATCGAGCATCCAATATATTGATATGAATGATCTGTAACATAAAAATAAAAAAGTTCTTGATAGAGATAATATATCTTGTCCCATTTAATAATCGGTACGGTATTTTTTCATCTCTTGGAGCGCACGAAAGGGTGAAGAAATTTCATTTAATTATTCAAAATGATTGTAGAGTATAAAAAAATAAAAAACTATCCGGTTTTCCAAGGTCAACGATGTTCATTAGGTCGAAAAGTCATGATTTTTCATCTGATGCATCAATTTCGAAGCACTTGGACGGATTAAAATGGATGAGATACAAAAATTTTGGCATGTTTATGGATATCTCAACAGTTGTCGAATACCGATTGACAATAACACAGGCATGTTAACTATTAACAAATATTGGTTACTTTTCTAATTGATTT